CAAGGGTCATTCGCTCGAGTGACTTCACCGACAATCAGAAAACGACTTGTAAGTGGTAAGATTGCTCACATCGAGGTCAGCAGCAACTGCTTCTCGCCTAACAATGACACCATCTTCTCCACCAGCACGGATAGTCATAAGGACATCTTTTATAGGGTCAAACAGCCAACCCTTGAAAAAGTTTTGTACAGTGTTCACCACATCTAGCATAAGGTCGGCTAAAGTTGCTCTAGAAGCATAAATATGCTTGGCACAATAGAGCATCAGTGGGGGAAGCAGGAATAAGCGAGGCCATAACAGGGTAAGTCGGGATGGTCGTCGCAGATCGTGTGCGTCCAGGTACGCGTTATGTATGATTCCATGGTTTTTGAATGCACCGAGGAGTTGTTCGATCAGAGGGAGACTAGCTTTCTGTGATACATCGCCCAATGTGACGACAGCGAACTCGAACAGAAACGCCGTAAGGGCTTGATTGTCAATTGACGAACCAGTGATTGAACCGTTGAAGTCGGCCTCCAGACCATTTGCAAGCAAGGGTCGCAACTCCAAAAGCTTTCCAAGGACCTCCGCCCTTTCGTTCCTCACCTTCTCCAGTTCCTTTCTTCTGAGCTGACACTCTTCTCGAGCAAGACGGAGAGGAAAGAGCAGGAAGGAAATTACTCTTTGTATACTGTACATGACCCCAACACGTATTTTCTCAGCCAGGGCAACGAGGGAGTCTGATCGCGTGCTTTTCCCTGCGGTAACAGGAGAAAATGATGCCACAGAACAGGATTGGTTGCGCAGATAGGGAAAGAGTGCAACAGTGAAGGGGTTGAGACGAATAGGTGCAGCATCCCAGTAAAATCTTGCAACAGACGATGGGCAGAATGCCGACAGTCGAACAGACATCTTCTGTGCCTGAATCAACTGCAAAACTCTACGAAGACGGCTCGGGAACGCTACATTTCCAAGCCCAAAGAAGCGAAAGACATAAGGGACATGTGCAGTTCACATCGCACAATGAAAAGAGACGCACACTGTAAGAGATACGACGCTACAGACCAGGTAGATTGTTCGATATCAGCCCACCACTCTGCGTCAAGCTGAGCCGCACTTGATTCCTCCAGGTAGAGATCCACGGCAAGCGCATACAGGTTGAAGATGGTTTTCCTGAAGACGGCATTGTAAAAGACAAGCTCCTCGCTCTCGGACTGCAGCCCTGGTTTGTCCTCCTGAACCGAGAAAGTACAGAGAAAGTCTACAGATTCTTGCACAGTAGCTTTAGAGGGTGAGCCCTGTAGCATTGCATGCGTCGACTTTAGTGTACCGCCATCGCTTGTAGGCTTGGTCTGCGTAGATAGTTGCAGCCTGGTCAATGGAATCAGACGCTCGGTGTAGTGAACGGCGAAGTTCGATGTCATGAAGAAGCTGGGTGACGCGTCTCGCTTCAAGACGACTGAAGTGGAAATAGTTTGGACTTGAATAAGCAAGTTTTGGTAAGATAGACCGCAGTCATACTTTGCTTGATCATGTGATCAAATCGTGACTTTTTCGTGACAAAAGTGCCAGAATTGCATCTTGACCTTCAAATTGCCTTTCACTATGCGACCCAGAACCGGTTAATTTCACTGGTACCATCACCCGTTAGTCTAGTCAGATCCACCGTATTATATGTTGAACATCACTGGGGATTGGTAATAACAACCCACCCTACAGGTGATTTATTACAGTTAAAAAAACTACATTTTTTGCCGGATTCACCATGTCACCAACAAGTGCATCCCACGGCACATATCACTCATTTAGTTGGTAATTTACATTGTTTCCTTTCACCAACACGCTTGTTGAATCTCACTTGCTTAGCCAGTCTGATTCACTACTTCCATGAGTGATAAAAACCAATGTCATTGGACTCTAAAGTGGTTTGTCAAACTAGTGAAAATGTTACTTTTCACCACCGCTATAGCTAACTGCGCATGCGTATGGCGCCGGCAGTCATGCACTTCCGCACAAAATCCACTCAGCAAGCGCCAAAGTCTTCGTCATCATCATCTGCTATCCCACGCTCACCAGATCCACTTCCGTCTCCTACCTCATCTCCGTCCGAGTTGTCTGAGTCGTCAAATCAACTTCGTTTATTGTTTTCAGTGCCTGCAATTGTGTGTGCCTTTCGCTTCTTGTTGGCCTTTCGTTTGTTCTGCAGAAATTGTTTGACCAACTCCGCTGTCGCCCAATCATTCTGAAAATTTTCAAGGTGAGGATGGGCCCGTCGTGCCTATGACTTATGGTTATTATCATTACAGCGGGACAGTATACTGACACACCAATTTAAATAGTTTTGCCAGGTTCGATGTTGGTTGTGCATTGTACAACACCCCAAAGTCCAGATCAACGCGCGAGCACAGTTCGTGAACTGAGGTCTGTGTAGTCATCAGTAAGCTGTCAAGTCTTTTCGTTTTCCAAACAACTGACCTGAATGGCCAGATATTCTGCTTTGTTATTCTCAAGCTTCATTGCCTTGAGCAGACGACCTCTGCTGCCCAAGTCTCTCATTTCGGCAGTTGTGGGCTTCTGCATGAGCTCGTGCATTGGATCCACACGGGAATTTCTGATCTTCTCTTCTGCAACTTTTTTGGCAGCTTCTGCTTCCGTGGCCATGAGCTTTGCTGCCCGTTCAGCCTCCTCAAGTTGCAAGATCTTTGCTGCTCAAAATATATGTTCGTTATTCAAAATACCAATGGCACCGGTAAGAAAAATTTTCCACACCTCTGAGACGAGAATTCTCATCCTCAAGTTTCGTGTTCTTCTCTTGCAGGACTTGCTTGGTCTGATTTTTATTCAAGGTTTTCGAAGCTGGAGTCATTGTTTTGGCTGCCACAGGTGGTCGAACTGTTCCGACCTGGCCAGAAGCTGTTGTTGGGTTGCTTGGTGCAGCTCTACTTTTTTTGGCTGCAACAGTCGGCCCCGTAAGTGGTTGATTCTCATTACTGCCAGGCATGGTTATCGTATCAATCTGATGAGAGGACTGAATGTGGGTATGGTGGCTGGTGCTGCGCTAGCTAGGCAATCACGAGCTTGAAAATTTTGACAAGTCCTTTGTTTATTCTTGTATGCAGCCAGAGACATGAATCAAAGTCATTTTGTCCTTAAAGCTGATCTGTCAGAACATGTCCCTCCATGGTTAAATCTCACCACCCTGCAGTGCGTAAACTATGCCGTTGTTGTAACAAATGGGTCAGCGAAAGAACATGGCGGAATCACCGCCTACTCATTGCCCCTCCACGTTTGAAAGCAACATCACCTTATCAGTCGAAACTTCTAGCTGCAGGCAAACTCCAGAAAGTGAGGCATATAGTGCACCCTCCAGAGAAAATTTCTGCCTTGGGAGCTCAACTCGAAGATGCAATGACATTGGGTATGTCTCTCTCGCGATGAAACTAAACTATAACCAATGCATTTGCAGATGTGCAGGATAATTACGATATAACATTCAGTCCTCCACCAAGTCCATCACCTCTTTGTGCCACCTCACCGATCCTACCTCATGATATGTTAAATCCAGCCCCTGACGCACTTGTACATGATGCACTCTCAATGGCTCGCCAATCTTGCAGCCATCTTGTAGAGTCAGCTGAGCGGGAACCATTGTCTGACGAAGAGAAAAACGATCTCGAGAGCAGTGGAGATGAGGACTCCGAGCTTGACTCCAACGAGGACTTTGACCAAGAGGTTGACCTTGAGAGTGATGTTGAGGATGAGTTTTTGGGTGAAAGAGTCGAACAGGAGCTCCTGGAGATTGGTGTGTTTTTTGCTGCGAAATTTGAAGTAGTAAAGCTTATAGACTAGCAGGTGAAGATCTCAGCATCACCGACAAAGATATCTTGCAGTGCATTTGCATACAAAATCAAATCTCACTTGACTGAGGCCAATTTTAACATGCTCCAGTTTGCTTTCCCCTCCGCCAATGTCCCAAGCCTTAAGAAGGCAAAATCACGAGTCGCATTTTTATCAGGACTGGAGCCTCAATATCATGATTGTTGCATAAACTCGTGTTGCTGTTTTGTTGGACCGAATGAAGCTCTTGAAGTCTGTCCGCATTGCAGTGCACCACGTTACCAGTCAAACAGGCGGCTACAGAAACAGTTCACTTATGTTCCTGTCATTCCACGCCTCATCTCAATGTTTCGCAATCCTGCATTGGCAACAAAAAATTGGCAACAAAAATGAGATACCGTGCACATGATCACATACACACTCCTGGCTCAGTCAATGATGTCATTGATGGCTTGTGGTACCGCCAGCTGCGAGCTACAAATGTTGTCATCAACAACACAGAGATGCCTTTTCCTCACTTCAGTGACCCTTGAGATATTGCACTGGGTTTGTCAACGGATGGATTTGCCCCTTTCCGACGTCGAAAATCTACTGCTTGGCCACTCATTCTCTTTAACTACAATCTCCCTCCAGAAATCTGATTTCTCAAGGATTATATCATATGCCTGGGTGTGGTTCCTGGCCCCAAGAAACCAAAAGACTTTGATTCTTTTCTATGGCCTTTTGTCGAAGAGCTCCTCAAATTAGCTGCTGGAGTTCGGGCATTTGACTCACTCCAGGCCAAGCTCTTCATCCTCCGGGCTTATCTCATCATTGTGGCAGGAGATATTCCCGCAGTTTCCATGGTCATGCGAATCAAGGGTCACAATGGTTATGCTCCCTGTCGATCATGCAACATCACTGGGGTTCGAGTTCCTCAAGCAAAAAGTACTATGCACTATGTGCCTCTCAATCGGAGCAGTCACCCTGAGATTCATTCATCACGCACTGCCGTGAAAAAATTTGATCCACTTCAACTCCCCCGCCGCACTCATGAGGAGATGATGCAACATGCTCGGCAAGTACAACTGGCACCCACAACAGCTGAAGCAGAGAGACTCGCCAAGCAATATGGCATCAAAGGCATTCCTGTTTTAAGTTTTGTATCCTCGCTATCGTTCCCAAAGTCATTTCCCTATGACTTCATGCACCTCATTTGGGAGAACATCATCAAAAACCTTATCTTACTCTGGACAGGTGAATTCAAAGGCCTCGATGTTGGGTTGGAGGATTATGAGCTGGGTGAAAGTGTCTGGAATGCTGTATGTCAAGCGGGTGCTAATTCAGGCTCTTTTATCCCATCAGCATATGGTGCTCGCCCACCTAATCCAGCCACTGAACGGAGTATGTGCACAGCGGACTCGTGGTCATTTTGGACTCAATATCTTGGCCCGGTGCTTTTGCATCGCAAGTTCTCCAAGCCCAAGTACTATAAGCACTTTGTGAAGCTTGTTCGCATGGTCCGTGTTTGTCTTCAGTTCGAGCTCTCATCCACAGATATCAGTGATTTGAGAATGGGGTTTGCCTCTTGGGTCGAAGAATTTGAAGTGTGAGTCCTTAACACTTCTCTGGAGTGCTTGTCTTAACGTCTAAGGTGCTGTTTAGAATATACTACCAACACAATCCCGAATGTCTTTCAGCATGCCCTATCACAATTCATGCACTTCTGCACATAGCTGATAGCATTGAAGAGACCGGACCAGTGTGGACCAGTTGGGCATTTCCTATGGAGAGATTTTGTGGGCAGATGCAACCCGCAATTATGAGCAGACGTCATCCTGATGCATGCATGGCTCGTTACATCGTCGAACATGCTCAACTTACACAAGCAGCGCTTGTCCACAATTTCACAGAAGAACTGACCCTTCGTCCATGTCGATTGGGAGTCATAGTAGCTGGGCATTTCAAGCATGAATCGTGTTTGTTTTTGCTATGTCTTTTGATCACGCCCCATTATTTACTACTACTTCCCCAATCAACAGATCCATCATGTGTACTCTTGCCACCACGGAGAACAACCCCACTCACATCAGTCACACTCTCACGGATCTTCAAGGCACTTGCAACCCGGTTTGATGTGTCGTTAGCATTGGTTCGCCAGCATGTCAAAGAAGTTTATATTGAGCAATGGGGCAAGGTCCGACGGCTGGATGGTGGTGACACAATGCTTGCAGCAGGGCTTGTTTCATCCCAGCATGATTCACGAGATGCCACATTTGTGCGAGTGAGTTTAGTTGTTTATGTGGTGTCATTGCATCTGCCAACAGTACTTTGCAGTATGAGACCCTCATTGATAAATTCGCTCGACAACATCACATGCCACCCGCATATGAGAAACAGACATTCTATGGGCGTCTGGAACATATTTTTGTCATTCGCATTCCGCATACTCCAGCGCTCAAAGTTGATGGTCCAACTACAATTTTCCTCGCTGCATTGTCAACATGCAAACTCGAATCCACTCCATCAAGTTTGAGTGCTCTTGACATTCACTTTTACAGTAGCCTCAATGATACTTTAGACATTGTGGACATTGTCTGCTTGCAATGTCTCGTTGGGCGTGTGCCAATGGATGGAGGTCGGCAGTGGGCAATCATTGACCGAAGCGGGAATCTTGCTCGTGCAGTTTTCGAGGATTCTTAGCATTCACAAGAGGCAAAGGTTGCAATTGAGATCATGTTGACAGATTTTCGTACTCGGTGTAAATTTTATCTAGCCCTCGTGAAAATTTCAAGCTCGAGCAACTGAGCCTTACACTCTGCATTACACCGTTGTCTCTCCGCATTCCAGCGTGCCTCAATGAGATTCTCGATATAATCTGCCGGCACAATAAGATTATCCTCCAGGACCATGGTTGTGTCGGCATCATTGGGATTGGAGGCCTTGGCCTGAGCAGCAAGTATAATGAGGTACTCGTGGGCTGAGGAGACAGTGGTCAGTATGCATATGTGATACATAGGTGATGAGCTCACGACGGAGACACATACATAATTTTGCAGGGTCATCCAGATTCTCAGGTATCTTGAAGCAGGCGAAACAAAGTGGGCTTAGGAGGTCTGGTGAAAGGTGATATTGAGTAGTCAAGTCAAAGAGAAATTAAGATGACTCACGGTGTGGAAGAGTTGGTGGTCATATTGTTAGTGGCACTGATGGGGAGTCAACGAAAGTCAGTGAACATTGGATGGGTACAATTGCAACAGCGCGCGACTCACATGTACACCTATAGAGCACTAGTGTACAGTACTAGTTGGAGTTGAACGTTCGAGTTTGAAAGTCATATCGTGATAAAAACTGTCAAAGATTGCCATCTGTCGACTGATTTGGCAGTTTTTTCAAGTGGTGAATGTAACTGAGAGAACAGGTAATTATCAACTGCAGGATGGACGGTGAATACAGTAGTTGGCAAAGCGTTGAAAATTACCCAAATAGGCAGGTGACACGAAATCACCTGTTCCGCACCGGCCACCACCTCACCACCGGTTTATCAGGTGAATCGCAGAATTCACCAGTTTTCCCAGTGACTCGAACCCGCTTACAGTCTCATAGTGCTTTGTTCGCAACATTAAAACCACAGAAAGTTGGCTGGAGTACATCCCCAGAGGACCTAGGTTTTAGAATTAGAATATAGTTTAAATTGGGAGTAGAGATAGCTTTTTCGTACTCGGAACATAATGCATTGTGCTTTGTCAGCTACTCAATGATCCGCTTCAGCAACAACGGAACTACATTCTCTCTCCACTATGCTGAAACGAAAATTGTTCAATGTTGCAAACCTCGGAAGTTGGGCAAAGTCACTCGGACACTCAGGAAACAAAGAAAATGTAAGAAACCTTATAATTAAAGGCAGAAATACTAAGACAATGCCCACAGGAAGTCCCAATGACAATCAATGTGTCCGAGTCTCCTCCATCCAGTCCGAAGAAGAAAAAGACGAGAGTAGCAGTTACTGCAGTATTGGATCCTCCTCCCTTTGTGCTACCAATAATACAGCCATCTCCGAGTCCACTTTACGAGTCTGAGCTTGAGCATGCCAGGATAAATACTGTAACAGGGTTCTACAAGCCCTCACCCACTGTCGAGGAGGCACACTTAGCCTTCAATGATATCAAAAGAATTCTTAGACCACCGAAGAAGACTGCTGGCTACCAAGACCCTAAGCTAGACTCAGTCTTTCGTCGCCGACTCGAAGGGATGAAACAATTCTTGTGGGTCTATGCGCCGGTGTTGAATCAATTTTACACTGAGGTCTCACGAGATTAGGCAAGCGGAGTCCCCCAGTTTCATACTCGGGGGATGAAAGGCTTGAAGAGATGCGCTCGAGTGAAAACTCGAAGGGACGCGCTCGAATGAAAGAAAACATATTTCTAAGACGAAAAGAAAACGATGTAAGTGACGAAGGCACGATGAAAGATGCTAATGGGCTATTTTTTTTTTTTTTTAAATATTTTCTTTATTTTGTCTTCTTTTTTGTGGTCTTGATGCCTTTCTTCATTGATCCAGCCAGGAACCGATACTGATAGAGCCGGGAACCGAAACAGAATGAATAGAAAAGCGATTTGTGAAATCCCAGGTGCGCTGGGCACTATGCCCCGTGGAGTAGGGCGTTAAGCAAAAACGGGTGTTGACGAACGTACTTTCTGAACTCCTCAGATGACCAGCGTCCTGCGACCTGGATCAAGTCAGGTGTCATACCTGCAATTGCCAGTGCAGTTGCTCCTCCAGCCCTCATTGAGTGTCCAGACATCCGCGGGCCACAATGTATCTTCAGGCGACGTAAAAACCAACCGCGAGTCGGTACTGCACCTGCGCTTGTCAACCACAGCGCAGGGCGAAAGGGGAAAGCACTATCTCGACACGCGAAATAGTGTTTTAGTATTGGAAGTGGGTTACCCACCGTCCACGAGTTTGCTAATATGAGGATTGTCGTACCCGTGCCCAGAGCGTCATTCTTCTGGTAGGGCAAAGAGTAAGATATGGAGTTCGCCGTTATACTGAGAGTGTGCTGCATAGGTACTTTCCAATACGATTGGTGTTGCACAGCGTCAGGCCACGTAAGTTCACCTAGCCGCTGTAGGGTTATGAAGCCCGTGAACAATAGGGCCACGAAAAGACTGTTGTCGAACCCTGGAGTTGATCCGAAGGTGTTTCGCACGCGTTCCAAGTCATCTACGGACAAAGGTAAGTTCCTTTGTACAGGACTGGACATTCTGCGTTTGCAGCCGCGTAGTGTGCGTGCCACTATGGAAGAATGTTGCGCTTTACGAACGTCCAGATACGTTTCCTCCAAGCGACTTGCGATACCTGAGAGGTACGAGTCCACGGAGCGAGGTTCAATGTGATGCGAGAGCCAAATGACGTAGAAAGATAATGTGTCGATCGTAGGGTCAACAGGTAGGTGGTGAAGGCGACAGAAGGTTATATATGAGTTGAGGTGTGAATCATACGCTGAAGCTGTGGTAGCTTCGATTGCGAAACCGAGGGCAATAGAGCGCTCGTATAAGAGACGCTCATGCGTCCAAGCCTCCCGTTTGGGTTGCTTGGACGATGCGGAGACCTCCATCATTTTTTCGCTGCCCCCAGCGCATTCCGAGGGGGTTCAAAGTCGAAAAAACTGGCGGCTGGCGCCAACATTAATACACGCTCATTTTGGAACCGAGAAAGAGTGTCGGCTACCCTGTTTTCATGCCCAGGCACGAATTCCATGCGTAGATCAACCTCATGTCGTAACAGGACATCGACGGCTGCGAGCAGGATGGGATTATAGGGTGGGTGAGCGCGAAGGGAATTGAACATAGCGATGGTGTTGCTGTTGTCCGTGTAAATCAACATTTTCGATGGAATTTCCATCATGTTGGGAATGAAGTGGATGGCCGAGCACACTGCAAGGGCTTCAAAGAAGTAGATAGTATCGCTTGGAGGATCTACGGGAAGTTGGCATTGCCCCGCGAAGCTTTCGTGGGGAAACCAGAGTCCCAAGCCCAGGCTAGACGCGTCAGTATAAGCCACCACTACGTCGTCTGCTAGAGGATTGAAATCCAGTGATTTGTAGAAGTATAAACCGCTCAGGTGATCCATATGGTTGGCCATCCAGGATAGTTCAGCGATTATGGCGTTATTGACGTGAAGATGCGCCAAAGGTTGCTTCTTGCCTCGGATTTTCTCGTACACAGCCGACAATCCAGGTTTCAGCAGCGGAAAGATGTTAAAGCTCCACTCACACCATCCTGCAAGCTGCTGATACTCTCGTAGCGTCCATCTATAGTTCTTACGCCCGAAGGTGCGTAGGCGATCAATCAATTCTACCTTTTTGTGACCTGGCAACGACGCTGTCATAGCGTTTGGGTCGACGTCGAAACCGATGACCGTCAAGGGTGAGCCGAATAGTTGTTTTGGTTCATCGTGCGGTACACCGATCTCGTCCCATAATTCCAGCAACCGAGTCTGCCTTTCCGGAAAGTTACGATGATAAGGCTCATAGTGCAGCATCCGACCAGCTATTTCGAAGGAGAAGGAGTCGTCCATGTAGAGCTTAAGGGCTTGGATGAGAGTGTGATGAATGGCAATCCATGCCACGAGTGACATGAAAGATACCCAGACTTTGGGTGACCCGCGTCCGCCGAAATTATTACAGCGATCGACGTGGCGATGTCCCCGAAAAGTTAACACCTGCTTGGCTTGCCATAGCGGGTGCATAGGTAGTCTGCGAAAGGCCTGGGAGACATCTGATTTGAAGAGGAGTAATTGTTCGTCCGGATGGTCCTTTCTAAACTCCAGTAGAGAGGCGCCGAGTGAGTGTAAGCCATCCAGTTTGGTCCCTTTAATGTCATCCGAGTCAATCATAGAGTTAAGCGAGTACTCCCCAGCTGTATGATCTACGACCAGACGCAACTTGTCTGAATTCAGTTTGGGGACTGTGTGCATCGGGACGCTGTACATCCCGGGGAAGAGCTCGGTACTGAAGCTTTCGGATACACGCCCTACCCGTATTTCTTTGTTCAATTGGTCTTCAATAAACTTCTCCTGTTCTAACGACTTTGAACAGGTCCGCATCGAATTGTCATTGATTGATGGATAGCTTTCATCAGAAGAGTCTGCCCACGGCCAAAAGCCTTCACGTAGAGCGCGACATACGGAGCGAACGAAAGGTTGATTCGGGTGATTTGAAAGGAGCTCCTCAAAACGGTCTACTTTGATTGGGGTAACTATACGAAATAGTTCCGGATGATTCGCAACGGTATGAGTAACATCAGTATCCGTGAGTGAAAGCGGTGGTGAAGGGACCGGATCTGCATATTCTGTTGAACGTGCTGTTGGACTGAACGATGCGTCTGTTGGAGACCAAATTAGCCCTCAGCAATGACGTGGACGTGTAAGGAACTGTTCAGGAAGATTTGGACTTGGTTTCATCGGCATGTTTAGCTCTGACGTGGCGGCGGCCACAGACACGTCCGTCTTGCTCAACGTTGCAGACGTGTGCATACCGGCAACTGGAGGCACTGCGTGTGCAGTCTCCATTGTTCCATTTACGGCACGCATCCCGTTTAGATGAACCTTCACGTCCTCCTTCCGAGGACTTTGAAGATTCTCCTGAGTCCATGAGGAGTCGCCCACCGGTGGAGAAGTGCGATGTGTAGAGATCTCTGAAACATTCGAAATCGGAGAGCTCATATCTGCGAGTGTTACCAACTCTGAATCTAACGGCTCTGTCATACCGAAGGACGCGTCCATGGTAGGTCTCGAGTTGCTGGTCGAATTGTTCATTGATGTGTTCCGAATAGGCGTCGAGCTCAGCCTGTCTGAAAGGGAAAGCGAACTTGTAAGCCCGTGCGGCTCTGTTCCAGGCAGCATTCCAATGGTTTTGTTTCGTGATCTTCTTCGTCGCCGTTTCTGAGACACCATAGGTGAATTCAACTTGCCCAATGACCTCTGTATGCTTCTCGATAGCGCGCGAGGTTGTAATGATGGTGTGGATTGCGTCGAGGTTGAGACTTTTCCCGGCGACAATGTCAGCCCATCCAGACTCGTGAAACTCCGGACTTCGTTCATGGTACATAAGCTTGAGTTTTGCTTGCTTCTGGTCCTGCGACCAGTTCTGGAGGATACAGATGGTGTGTCTGAGGTTAGCGGATAAGGGTTTGAACGGATTCTCGTGTACGGTTGGTTTAAGGTCAAGGCAGGAGAAGTCGAGCTTAGCCCGCTTTCGAGCAGGTTCTCCTGGCTCGAGGCTGGCTCATTGACTTCCAACAGCCTCTGGATGAGGCTCTTCTTCTTCACCTGCTGGTTCAATTGATTGGCGCTCTCCGGCCGTTCCAGATACTCTGCAGTAGGCACGATTTCGTTCAGACTCCCATTCATCAAGCATGGCGAGGTAGATAGACGCAATTGTAGAGGGATTTTCGCCTGAGCCCCACCTCAGGCATTACTTCTCGGTATCAATAGAGACCTTTGAGGTAGGGTTTCTATGTTGTGGGAAACTTACCTCTGAGGTGCGCCCTCCCACCATTCTATTAATAACGTGCCTCATACATTACATCCAGCGCCTCCTGGCGTGGCTCGCGTGCCGTCCGTGCCGCTCAAACCTATCCTCCATTCGTTATTGCGCACCTCCAGCATTCCCAGGGCGCATTGGCCTCTATATGCTCTTGGGGCCCTCGCGCCACAGGAATCAAAACCTCGTCACGGTGTCTATCACTAAGTTTGTGTTGTTAGTGAGTCTTCCTTGCCACTCACTCTCTCCCTTTCACCATGGTCTCAACCAGTGCTCTCGCTCCTACTCGTGGAGCTCAATGTGTATCATCTGGACTAGGCCACCATTTCGTCAGCCCGAAGAAATCCAGAGATAAGAAAAAATCTCAGACACACGTTGAGTTACCTGGCGCGCAAGCCAAACACCGTCAACTGCTAGCTCGTATGCAACAACTGATGAAACCAGAGCACAAACAGACCAAAGTTCATGCTGTAGATGCAGTTGAAACTACAGTGGCTCAAAAAAGTGTCCCAATGTTTATAGCTTTTCATGTAATTGCTATATCATGTGTCAAGACGTGGGAATATGACTAAACTACAGGGAAGTGTCAGAAAGGTCTGCGTCTCAGCTTCATTTCGGTTCCCTATACCGTGGGAAAATAATGACATTATGTGAAGATAGTGTCATTTTAATTTGATGACTCATTGGGACACTTTTTTGACTTTGAGTTTAACCAATGTAATCTCTATAATTCTAGTACTTTGTGTGACCTCCTTTTGCCTTAATCATGTCTGCCACTCTTCTAGACATATTCTCTATCAATTTTGGGTATTCCTCTTTGGTATTTTCATCATACTCTGCTGTAACACTGTCTCATAGTTGGAATAGCCCCTATGGTAGATCTTGATATGCTACAAGCAATTTCTTGAGTGATTCTCAGGGGTATTCAATAGGGTTGATATCTTGGGTCTATGCTGAACATGATAGAATAGTAATATCATGGTCTTCAAGCTATTGGTGGCTGTTTTAGAGGTATACTTAGGGCCATTGTCTTATGACAAAACAGTATCTTCTTCATTAACTCATAACTCCTGCATGCTTCTTAGCAGACACTCCTGTCAAATGAGTATTTACTACTCTGTATTCATCCTCCCCTTTGCTTCATAGAAGATTCCCACTCCATTTTATCTCATATAGTCCTATACCATCAAGTTTTCGTCTTGAAACTTAAGGTGTTTATTTAACTTTTCTTTATCTTAATGATTGTCCTATTTATTTTAATACAAATTCCTTGCCATATGATCTCATCCTATTGATTTTAACCTTATCTAACTAGATAAACCTCTTTCAGCTATTAGCAGTCCAATATTTGTACTTGAAAGTAGCATCTTGTCTTTTCTTTTTATAGGTTGGAGACAGAAGAATCTGTTTTTCTTGATTATAGCTTTAATATGGGCTGTCTTGAGAGTCTGTCTGACTATTTGAGTAGAGATAGTCATAGGAATGATGGAAATAATCAATTTAGTCGCTTTATTAACATCAGCAGCCTTTCCAATTAGAATATAGTGATTAAGAGATCTCGAGTCTTATAGAGCAACCTTCTAGATTGGCTATCAAATAACTTAAAGACCATAATATTACTATTCTATCATGTTCAGCATAGACCCAAGACATCAACCCTATTGAATACCCCTGAGAATCGCTCAAGAAATTACTTGTAGCATATCAAGATTCACCATAGGGGCTATTCCAATTATGAGACAATGTTACAGCAGAGTATGATGGAATCACCAAAGAGAAATACCCAAAATTGATAGAGAATATGTCTAGAAGAGTGGCAGAAGTGATTGGGGCAGAAGGAGGTCACACACAGTACTAGAATTATAGAGATTACATTAGTTAAACTCAAAGTCAAAAAAGTGTCCCAATGAGTCATCAAATTAAAATGACACTATCTTCACATAATGTCATTATTTTCCCATGGTATAGGGAGCCGAAATGAAGCTGAGAAGCAGACCTTTCTGACATCTTCCTATAGCTTAGTCATATTCCCATGTCTTGACACATGATATAGCAATTACATGAAAAGCTATAAACATTGGGACACTTTTTTGAGCCACTGTATCTCTGATACTAGTCAGACTGACGCCTTGGCCGAAATTCCTGATCCAGACTTCGAAATACCATCAGAACCTTCTTCCGACATACTTGCGCAAGAATCTCATATTAAACGTCGCATTTTACCTGACAAGGCCACAGACTCATTGTATAGCAGTTGGAAAACGTTGATACCCTTCCTTGTTGAACCACATCTCAAATATTCTGCGCGAACGCTAGCGACAGCACTGGAGATTACCCCCGAGGTCATCTCTGCATGCGCCACATGTTTGTGCCCTCAAAAGCGAACAACAATTGCGTGTTTATTTTTCGACAGTAAGTCTTCTTATCTTTGAGTATACACCATGTTAATGAATGAACACACACATTCAGGATTTACGTCTATTGATGTCCTCAGTTGTAGATGTTCCATGCTTCCCCAAGTGCTGCTTCACCATGGTCTGTTTCCGACTGCTCCCTCACAGCCTCGTATGGCTGTCTCCGTCGAATTGCTATCATTCTATCGGGCACTTTTCGAACGGTCTTGTGATGCCATCAATGCCTTGGCATCGGCTCTCAAAACTCACTACTCTCGAAGAGGTTTCATTATGGCAGATGCCCGAGTAAGTAATTCGTGATGGCATGTATCTAGGCTGATTTGTTACGCAAGGGGGAAATTATACAGGATCCTTTTCGTCGAGGCCTGGGCTATGCCGTACAGTGGTATGACATTCTTCAAGTTCAAATAGAACGTCGAGTCGAAGAAGCTGTGCAGAATAGCCGTAACCGGGTGGCGACCCTTCGTTCTCAAGCAGAGGATTACACCTCAACTTTGTCTACCCTACGTAGAGGTCGGTGTGCACCCATACTTATTCAACGGTGTCCTGCATGTTTTGCTGGGACAATGTTTGGGAAACCTACTGCTGAAGGAGGAGATATTCACACTGCCACGGATGGCAACTTCCACCACCGCCATCGGCGCGCAGCAGGGGATTGCCCCCACTTCTATGACCCCACTTATTTCCTTCCCAAAGAGTACGTCGATCACATTGGCCGCCGCATAGAGGCTCAACGTAAAAGGCCTGCCAAGTCACCTGTACCCCTTGTTCCCGATGAGGCTATCGACCAATGTGAAACGGCATATGAAGCAGCTGATGGGAAAAAACAGAAGGCGGCAATGGATAGCTTCGATGATACTGGCATCATGGCGCTCATATGCCGTCATGACATTCCTCTGTTTTTTGCTAATATTGACTCTCCAGGAGAACAGCAAAAATACTCCGTGGCCCTCCTGGAACATTTGTTCTCGTTGATCCCACCTCATGCCACAGTCGTAGCTTTGTATGATGTCGGGTGTGTCCTTGCCCGATCCCTTAGCAAGGTAAGTTCATCTGGTCTCCATTTAGGTTTATTTACTCATCATTTGTAGTACGACATTCTCCCTAGCAGTATTGTCTCACGTTTGCGCTTAGCAACCACTGCCATGCATGCATACGGGCATGAGTGGGCATGCCAGCTAGTGCACAACCCACGGATGTGCATTGGGCTTGGTCTTTCAGATGGAGAAGGAACCGAGAGGCTCTGGTCTCGCTTCGTACGCCTAATTGGTGTTGAAAGGTCGTCATCGGTACGGCTTTTTTGCTCTTGTTCTTGTTACTGATTCAAGTCTTATTGCATGATGTCAGCGTCAGCGCCGTCTCTGGTTGATTGATCGTCAGGCTGCAGCTATAGGATCCGAAATGCAATCCGACTTGGGTGATTGGATACGACGACGCCTAAAGCGTGGTATTAACGACCAAGGAACTGCTGCTCAAGAGGTTCTGGATCAGTGTGAACTTTCCATCAAGGATCTCGAGTCAGAATGGTCCCAACAACGAAGTTCGCAGCTCTCAGTCCGTGCACGTAAGTGTTTTCAGTTGATCTTGAATACACTATGCATTAAATTTGTTCATAGACGCCCCTGCTCGCCTTAAGAAGGAGCTAGATACCGTTTTGACCCTACAGGCCGACCTCGATACCTCTAATACAGCCCTACAATCTACCAGGCTGATGCTTGAGAAAGGAGCTGCCTCGAAAGACACTCTCGGGGCTCTCGAGGCTCTTGAAAAAGGTCATGATCGCCTTATGGCCAAAGTCGAAATTCTATATGCATCCCTCAATATTCATGACCAATTCCCTGAACTAGAAGGCATCAATTTGGACTTTGTCCGGCTTCTTCTGATGGCGCGTGACTTGAAAATGAACATTCGCAAACGGGCAATCGCAAGCTTTTTCGAATGGGATAAACTTGATCGTGCGGTCGGTGGTGCTCAGCAGGCATTAGGTAAATCATCCCTACCCGTGATTTGCAATCAATTAACTGATGTCATTCAGGCACAAAACTACATCAACAAACCCGAAAGGCCATTGCGAAACGCCAACCAGCCCTGTTAACTGCACTCAGGAAGTTTAATACTTACTGCGAACGCTTAGAAGCATCATATGATCCTTCTTGGGGTATTCCTTTACCTAGTCCTCTCCCGACCAAACTTGCAGAGCTGCGTGGTGATCCCAGTCTGATGGAGGATGTGTGGATTACGCCGTCAACGGGACAGGTTCCTCGATGGTTGGAAGATGCTGATGTTAGAGATGGCATCCGTGCACTTCTGAAACGCGAGCGCTGCCGAGAAGAACAGAAGCGACTCGGTATTGAGGCGGACAATCTTTGTCGTTTCTTTGGAGATGAACTTGCTGCACTCGAACTTGCACTCCGCACGCCAGGATGTAGGTTCTCTTCATTGTTACAGTAGGATTTCGCTTTCAACACATAGACAGGCGAACTTATATCTGTCTTGCTGAGACAGCGTCACAACCAATTACTCAGACTTCAAACCCGCTGGGCGAACCCATTAGCCTCTTCCCTTCGCTTCACGTCCCGTGCCAAGGATGCGCTAGAGATCGCCATCACTCTTTCAGGCAGTGCCCAAACACCGAACATGCACTGGCTCAGCACAACATTGCTGGAAGTACCCGATCCTGAGGGAGAACTAACCGATGTACAGTTTGCTGAGCCTCATGACCTGCCAGCAGCAGAATCTGAGCATACCACTCTCGCTGACGTCCTTGAGGGTGATTTGGGTGGAGAAGAGATTGAAGACTTCGATTCGATGGATTATGTCAATGACACTCATGCTGTCATCGTGTGGGAAGCCCCCGAGGTACATCAGTCTGTCGTTAGGAACCGTTTTGATGTTAATCTGACTCTAGGGTGTACTGATGGATGACTCCTACGTCCCACGTAAGGAGGAGTGTGTCATTGTCCCAGGAATAGCTTCCAGAAGGGATCAACCATCACGAGATGGATACCCTCATCAAACCTTCGAGCTGAAGGACATTGCCTTGCTCGCCTCACCTACAGCATGTCTTAATGATACTTGTATCAATGGGTGCGCCGTTTTACTGTTTTCTGAACTGAAAAGTGTCGTCACTGGCCACTGCGCTTTGTTAACATCCCACGACCTCCCTCGCATTCGATATAATGCATCAGATGACATTCTGTGGCGTAACATATCATACACGTGTTACTGGGAGAAAGATATCTGGATTCTTCCTATTCATCGTCCCTCCAATATTGGCCATTGGGTGCTGTGTGTCATTCGCTTCTCCAGCAAGGAATTGCACCTCTTCGATAGTCTAGCCGAGAAAAAACCTTGGAAAAATGATATCAAGGTAAGTTTACTTATGTCAGGGATTTTACGCGAGGCTCATGTACTCCAAGGATGTCATGAAGCTGATTGCTCGCCTCCTTGCTATTGCACGCCAGCAGCATCATCATGTCACAACAGAACTTGACGGATGGATAGCACGACCATTGAAAGTTAGTAGCAATTTTGAGTCTTTCGGTACATACATCTGAACTTTCTTTTGAGATCACGCCTGTCCAGACCAACAGTTATGACTGTGGAGTATGGGTATTGGCAGCAATTGCCGCTGTCTTCCGAGGACGTCATGTAACAGGACTCTGTGAGGATGATATGCGCCACCTTCGGCATCATCTACGAGCTCTTGTTCTTTCTATACCGTGCAGCTAGATTATAACTATATCGTGTGTAATATATATGCCCATACAACTACTTGTATGGGTTCCGGCCACAAATTATCAAGTCTGCCTCTCGACGATAGTTGAAAATCTTCCTTGCCTGCCATTGCACATAACACTTTGCCATTACCCTGTGCCTTTCACAACCCTGCATGCACGATACATACTCATTGAGCTTATTCCAGTTACCCATCAATTTTCTTTCCGCTGCCTGAATTTCCTGCAGGATGACGTCTACATTCGCTGCTGCGAACATTTGAGCATAGCGTGCCCGGGTCTCTTCTTCCAAACGACACTGTCTGCCATGCATGACATCCACAAGATTGCGGGTAAAGCGAGCCTCATGTGGTGAATTTGGAGGAGGAGGGGAATCATACGGTGGTGGTTTGTCCCACTGGAATACATCGGACTCGTCAATCAACTCCGACCCAGAATATGCTTGTTGGAACAGAAATGAGTCGGGCAAGGGAAGCGCTGCCAGTGCGATGAGAGATTGGGGAAGTGGTTTTGTATTGCTGAGGGATCCAGAAGTATTGGTCCTCTTCCGTCCACGGAGTTTGGCATTAGCACGAGCATTTTGCATTCGTCGAGCAGCTTTTCCCCTGTAGTTTGTTAAACAATCAGCACAGAAAGATCAATAGAGGGAGTCACCGTTCTGTCCTTGAGTATGAAATCTTCTGTTGGCGTAAGGCAGCGTTTTTCTCCTCAAGTGTGAAGTATTTTGCTCTACGACCCATTGGTTCAGTGTAAAGTACTACAAAGCAATGTAAAGTACTTAGTACGACATCACACATTAATTGCTACTGGTTGTATTGCAGCATATTTCACTGCCCATACTCCTTAGTTCTCTTATACTAAGGTGAAAGCGCACTCCATGAGAGTTATCTGAGCTTGTTTCAAACGATATTGGAGCACTGTAAGGCGCTGCATTTGTCTTTCAACTGTAGCACGAATTGTATTCACAATGTGATTGGCTCTAAACACTCTCGGAGGCCCCCGAGGCTCAGCGCTCAGCGTTGACACATCACCCTCAACATCACCCTCAACATCACCCTCGTGAGCCTCTAACATTGTGCGCGGGCCTCCATTACAGCATTTGCGTCAGTGAAAATTTAAATTGTTCTATCAAAGATCCTTGCTTCTTTCATATCGTAAGTAGTATGATACGTTTCAGCATTGTGATTGGTCTTAAGTTTCCTACTCGTCTGCAGACCACCAGACCCCCTGCATTGAAGGTTACCGTGGCGCCTCTCCCCCTCTAGCCACGATATCTGCGAGCCTCTATTACAGCATAGGTGCATCCCTATTTCAAATGTCCGCTGGTTTTACTGACTTTAGCATAACATGTATCTCAATGGAATCATTCCATTCATGTAGGATTAAAACTCCCTGCGCGCAGGAATTTAAACTCCTTGCAATAAAATTAAAATGCTTGCTCTTAAGATCGAGGTAGGTTCTATTGTTCCTCCCCCCTTCACCTTCCTCAAAATCTGACCGTCTCTGAAGGCTAGATTGTGCACTTCCGCTCTGGCAATATCCTTCATCTCTGAATCAACACTCAGACCATCAGCAGCTTTGAATGTACAGTCCCTCCAGACCGATGTAAGTCGTTACAGCATTGATCTTTGAAACCATACTGACATACATCCAGTGTCTACCAATTTTTTTCGCCCGCTTCGATTTTTTTTTTCGGTGGTACGTCCAGTTGCTCCTCACTTTGTTCAATTCTCCTTTACTAACACACTACCCGCTACCCACTCAGCATTCTTGCCCTTTTCTGCTCTCAATTTTCACCATCAAATATCAACGGTGCTCAACTCTGTATGTTCATCCTACAGCAACCTTGCAGCGCATCTGACAATCCCACAGCTATGACTCATACATTCAACGACTACTCATTCCCCCTCGAACCAAACGTGCCACCCCCTCAAAGTTATAGCACCTCGTCTCAATCTATGCATCTTTCTCCCGGCGGAGATTATATTCAGGAACAGTATGGTGGAGGGCGTCGTTCCAAGAGCCCTCTAGTGGAGTTAACTCCTACCAGACTTCGGAGTAGGATCAAGGCTACGCAGCGCGATGTTGGCATAGTCAAAGAGGCCGCCATCCGGCGTCAGGAAAGCTCATTCTCACCCAACACTCTAACCAGTCCCTCAGCGCCCCCAGAATCTGCACCTCCGCATCCTATCCACGATAACAGTGTTGTGGGAGGTGATGCATCGTCTGCTCTTCCTCAGGGCAATATTCGACATACATCTCCACATCCCCATGCTCCCGAGCCTCCACGTCCTGCACCTCTACAGGACATGTTTTACAATCCCATAGAGGCACAATCCAGCGGATGGTTGGCGCAGCAATCTCATTCCTTTGGAGTGATGGATGATGCATCGTTCACGGCACTGCTCATGGAGACGCAGGAACATTTTATGTCTTCTGATGTTGGCTCGGATTTTGCTAACCAGCCACCCTCCTTACATGCACCCTCTTGTGACCCTCCGGTACCTCAAAGTGTTGGAGGAAGTTCTAGCCAGATCGCACCTATGATTACCAATATCATCCCACCAACACCGCTGAAGGATGCTGGCCCCCCTCCTCGTGCCTCCCTGCATGAGCGTGGTGCTTTCATCGATACTGGAAATGTCGATGACTTGCTCTCTAATCCTCGGGACAGCAAAGATGCGCCTGCCTCGACATCAGGCCAGTCATTTGTCCCTGGACGGAAGTCTGCTGACACCAGTTCAATCCTCGAAGCTGCTTTCGTCGAGATTGAGCAATCATTCCTCGAGCTCTCAGGGTCGACATCAATTCCCGTACAGCAAGTCATCAACTGGTTTTTGAAAAGTCGAGGTCGGACGACAGTCAGCACTAACTTCTGGAATCTATACGCTCGCAGTTACTTCAAGGATCACACAGAGCAAGAACTTGCACGAGTTGGACTTAAGCTTCCGGCAGATGGAGGCTCTCCGGGTAAGTTATGATCATATATGTTGATGCGGTACTTACGGTTCCATCGTGAATTTTAGGTATGTCGATTCGGACGAAATGCTATGACCTCTTCAAAGAGGCTTTTCCAGACACATACAAAGATATTCTCTCCGTCCACGATGAGGTAACGATCCTATCCGCCACCCCTCAAACAGTCTCTCAGCGTGGACAAGAGTTTCAAAAATACTACCGAAGGATGTTTAGCATCGTAAGTATACTTCCCTGGCGTCTCGCTGCTCGCTGTGCCCTGATTGTCTTTCATTATAGGCTGATGGCACTGCTGCTAAATTTGGGTTTGAGACCGCAATGGTCATCTGTGGTGGAATTGTCAATCAAGATGCCTCCCTCGGTCAAGTTCATACTACACCAGGCGCTGCAGACGTAAGTATCTTGAGAGTGATATTCAACACTTTGATCGCTAATGCTGGTTTGCTAGTTCTGGAGTATGCGATGCCGAGCTGATGGTGACACCATCATCGGTCACCTCAAAGCTCATGTCTAGTAAGTCTCATTCTGCGTCTTACCATTATCTTTTTCTTACTCATCTTCCAAACAGTAATAAAAGTTCACTGGCAGTGGTAGAAGATGCCTTCGATGACTTGCCTGAAGATGACGAAGAAGCCTCTTCTAAGGATGCTGACCCGATTCCTTCAACTGAAGTTGAGGGTCGTGAGGAATCTCTCCGGTGGCTCAAGAGAGAAATCGCGAAACGAGTCAGTAAGTAGCTATTCTAGTTCTTTTCGGTTCAGTCTGACATGCTCGTTTAGCTGACCTTGGCGGGAAGTTTGCATCTGATAAGAATTTCCCCTGGAAAACGATGCCAAGCTCCTTAGCATCTGGCGGCCTGAACATTGAAGGGTACCCTGCGCACAAGTGCCTCATGCCGGGTGAATCTCATGATCCGACGTCCAAAAACAACAAGGGGATAGGTGTATTGACGTATAAAGAGGTTGCAGCACTTGTTGATGCTTACAAGGCTGGCACTATGCGCGTGGTTAAGTCTTCCCATACACACAGTAAGTTTTGTCTCTATTCAGTAGCCCAATTTTAACAATGTTTTCGTAGTGTCCTTGATCGAATCAAAAATGCCAGTTATCATCGGGGAAGCTCCTCCGTCCACCTGGGAGTACCCATGTGCTCGTCGCATGTTTGCTGATCGGCATACAGATTATAGTGGCCCGGATCGCGTGGGGACAAGCGCCGCACAGACCAGACTCAAAAAAAATAAGGCATCAAAAGCTCGTGATTTTGAGCATCCAGAGGGGGTCATGTATCCTCGCCTTTCTGCTCATCCCGTTAAGTTCGTTGCCAACGGCATTGCTAGGCCACCCCCTCCTTCTCGTCCCTTTAAGGTCGTTGCTAGGCCCATTACCAACCAACAAACTCCCCCTCCCGCTCGTCCCTTTCAGGCCGCTGTTAAGTCAGCTGTGCCAATGGCTTCTAAGGCTGCCATGCAGGAAGTCATCGAACTCACATCAGCTTCGGAAGGCTCGAAGGACGCAACAGCAGAGGAACCAGACACTGAATATGAAGATGATTTACGCGGGAATAAACGGAAATTAAAGTCAGGAAATTCCTCCCGGACGTCCAAGAAGCGTGCTTCCTCAGAGGCTATCATTGAACCAAAGAAGGAAGGTGTGCGTTTCAAGGCGAAACCACTGAAACCATCTCCTTCCGATGCCTCTCCATTGAAGGGGGGTCCGCTGTCACCGTTAACAGTGGGGTCTTCTTCAGTTGACGAAGAACGCTCATCTGGCAATGAAGGTTTGTGCTACACGTGTCATATGTCTTTCCTCGCTCACCATCTTATTCAGCTGCCCAGCCAGTTCGACCTGCAATTCGCATCCGGGACGGTACTTCCAAAGTGCAGCCAAAATTCAAGGGTACGTATCTGTTTTTGGATTTACTCGTCACTGACTTGTTTACTACAGCACTCCCAAAACCAAAACGTGTGGCAAAGGAATCACGGACAGCCATGCACCGTGTACACCGAAGGATGTATACGGTCGATTCGGAAGAGGAGGATGCTCCAGGTCGAATTGACTCGGAGGTTACAGCGGATGCTGGAAAAGGTGCTACCACGCTTGCAGACCCTCAGCTCGATGCTGCAGCTCAGCCAGTGAACCCTACCCCGATTACACTGGCCTCTACTACAGAGGACAATGTCTCCGGGCAACCGGAAGTCACGCCCAGTGTGGCTTCACAACCTCAGAGCTCTGAGCCACCCCAACCCTCAAACAGTACGATCCAGACAACGTCTTCCCCTTTCACACCTAGCAACGAGGAGAATGGAAATTCCCAAGCTCGATCTATCAACCATCCATCTTCACGTCCTGCTGGGCAGATGCCCCTTCCACAGCCTGAGCCGCTTCAGACTGATATTCATATCGAGGGAGCCGAACACTATGCACGTTCTCCATTGTTTTCACGTGAGGCTCCCATCCCACGTGAGGCTTCTTTACACATGCACGAGCTTCCCAGTCATCCTCGTGAGCCTTCCGTGCCACTGCGAGAGCCTCTGCTTCGTCCTCGCGAGCCTTCCGTGCCACTGCGAGAGCCTCTGCTCCATCCTCGTGAGCCTTCCGTGCCACTGCGAGAGCCTCTGCCTCATCCTCGTGAGCCTTCTGTGCCATTGCGAGATCGCTCTGTACACCCTCGTGATCACTCTGTGCGCCCTCGTGAGGGACCCTCCTACTCACACGATGATGCTCACTATCGTGATGCACATGACACACTCTATGATCGCAATGGTCCCCCTCGCACCCATCCTCATCCTTCTGGCATCCTCAATCCACATGGCCTTCCACGCACCCGTAATATTGAAGAAGCTCGGTACGGTCGTGCACCCATGGGATTCAATCATCCAGGCTATCCTTCTCGTTACGGCTCGCCTGCTGAAGGATATGACGACCGCTATGATGACCCTAGGTATCCGTCAGACTCCTACTATCAAGACATGCGCAGTCATGACCGGAGGTACTATGGGGATAATAATAGATGGGCAGACCGCCGCTGATACCTACTAACATTTCTCTCTCGCCCTTTTAGTGTAATGACTGTCATTTTGTTACCTCGTGCATTGCCTCAGATTGGATGTAGTACCTCCTTCTGAAAAACTGTTTTAGTGAATTCTTGTATATCACGCCCAGCCAATGTTATGCCCGCAACTTGCAAGCTGCCTCCTGAGTTCTCGTCCCTGATGATAAATTTTTCGTCCAAGAATCCCAATCCCACTGTATCCTGGAGGTTCGCGTGGGGCATGGAATGCAAATAAATTGAATTGCTCTGAACTGTGGTACATGGTTCAAATGTATGAATACTATTATTACAGAGTGGGTGGGGGTGGAGCCTTCGCCAGAGGTGTAGGATGAAGATGGGGTTGCTGAGAATGAGCCAGGGAAGCCTCTCGGGAAGGAAATGTTCATGTTGGACGGCTCATTGACGGATGAGGTCAGTTGAAGTGTTTCGTTTGAAATCAGGTGCTTCAAAAGATTCGGATTAGTGTAAGATGCTGTGGGATGAATGAAAGGAATCATACCAGCCCTTCTCCTTGTCGAGCGTGTCGCCCATGTTCTTTGACAACTTCTTGAATTCGTGTTTGAACTGTTTGTGTTGAGCGACAAATGCGAGTTTAAGTGTTGGGTGGGCAGGAAGAGAGTGAAAATTGACTTATGAGTCACTAGGTGGTTCGTCCGGTCTAGTAGGGTCCCATCAAGATGAGGGAAGCAGGAGGTTTCGGTGAGACCAAAACAAACTAAGTGTTGACATCAGCGAAAATGAGCACAAACCGTCGAAGGTGGGGTATAAAATTTATAAAAAAATTCAATTAACAGATGAAAGAATGCATAGTCGAAGGATCGAACTTAAGAGTCTGCCAAAATCACAACACCACTACCACTTCACTACCGTGCCTCTGACTACACAGCGTGCCCATAATATATGAGGGCATTTGGTGTTCCATTACTTCGTCCGTTGATTGTCAACAAGGCCATCGATCATCAACGGAATCAATTATCGATGGGCACACATCTTCTCAATGTGTTATCGATGTCGTTCCTCTACACGCCTCCCTCTTTCTATACCTTCATTGGATTCATGGATTTTACCCAGCTCGACTACATGCTCGAGCGTATGGCATCGCGCTACAAGGTGGACGCGCAGGAGGTGCTGGACAAATGGTTGGAGAAGCGAGAGGTCCGTGATCCTGAGGGATGGAGGCTCCTCGAAGGTATACCTTGCATCGTTGGAGGGTTGACGGCGCTTCTCGGTAAGTGTCACAGTCAGATCATAGTGTAGAACAGCTAAATATGTTACAGGGACCCTCGAAGGACGAGGGGGAAACTTCCCGTGGAAGACCCTACCTACCGTTCTAGCCCGTCGTGGCTGTATCCTCGAAAACTACCCAGAAGACGTCCTTATGCCCGGCGAGAGGCGTTCAACCCTTGCAAAGAGCAAGGGTATCCACGACCTCACTATCCATGAGCGCTTCAAACTTGCGAATGCCCTCAAGAATGACGCCCTCACCGTTAAATCGGTTGCAACAGACGCTCGCAAAAGTCTTACGACCTCACGTGTCCCCGTCATTGTTGGAGAAGCGCCCATAGCAAATTCTCTTCACACTCGTGGGCGACGAGGGTTTGCCAATGGACGGATTGATCGGTTTGGCCTGACCCGTCTGGCCAACGCTTCCTCTTCAAAATCTGGCGCCACATCATCTAATCGGCGCAGACTCCGTGTGTTCGTAGAAGTCCCACTTGCGCCACCCTCCTGGAGGTTGAAGGCGATTCAGCAACGTTCACCGGTCATTGAACCCGATCATAGCGACCTTGTCCCAGAGATCACCACTATTAAGGACGGCACTATTCATGATGAAGACGCAGTCAGCAATGCCACTACCGAGGACGAAGGAGAAATAGATGAGCTTTTCAGTTCGCAGCTGCAGGAACAAACATGATCTGTGAGCCTCTCGAGCCTCCCTCTGATGTTCACAAATTAATGTGACCCTCAGGAGCGCCTACTCGACCCTCGCAAACCTCCATTACATCCTCACGAGCCTCCCGTCACGGCATGTACTAATCATTGATATGGCACAGCATTGAGAGGGATAACGAGTGTATTTTCTTCTTCGTGGTTTGGATCTCTTATCGTGTCCGTTTCACGTCCATGTCTTCTTTGAGTTGTTAATGTCTCTGTCCCTTTCACACCAAATATATTGTCTGTCGCACCATCATGATAGTATTGAGATTCACTGTGTTCGAAACATGTGTGATAAAACATATAAACTAACTATTTTAAACAGCGAGGGTGCCGCATGGCCTCGCGTGGTTTATACCTACCCTCGCGAACCTCTGGGAGTACGGAGGCAGTACACTAAGGAAAGGGCATGGACCTCTTGCGGCAATTACAGGGAGCCTCTATGGAGAGGCATACCTCACAGGTGGGTTTGCTGCAACATAGAAACCCCACCTGATAGATCGTGAGACGGGCGCTTAAGTGCTGCCAAGGGTGCTGAGCCCAATGGTACGCATTCGTTGACGATTGAGGAGATGACGAAGGATGCATCAAACTTCGAACCTTTCCCACTTCTAAAGTCTTTGATGACGTCAAGGCATCTCTTCGCCACGTCTTGTTGGGGTAAATGCACTCTATCAGAGTCGGTCTCAGCTGAAGCCCCTCGCATTCCGGGTCCCCTAAGCGATGGTTGCGTTTGGGACGTATTGGCGGCATTAGTATTACTAGGGCCTCCAGGATCTGACATAAGTTGGAAGTATGACCGAATTTGAGTGACGAGAATTCAATATGTTACGAAAATTGGATGGTGCAGACGGTGCACAAGCAGGAGTGCTTTAGGAGACGAGTATGCGACGTGCCGAAAAGACGACGTCAGTTAGATACTTTTATATGCAGTAGAAAGGGGTCTCTAACGATGACGCTGAGTCATATGTCGGCCAGCGTCGCGCATTGATTCAACTTGGATAAACAAGTCTAACCCCGAGTTAATTGTTGCAATCTTACATTCAAATTTTCACACCACTCAGGTTTTCAACACGAGCCTGCCGGTTCATGGATGCATACCACAAAGGATTGAATGGGAAGCAAGCTGCGTGGGCTTCAAAGAAGTATAGAGGTCACCGAGTGCTGCCAGATAGTGTTTTGCGCGATCTTGACGGAGCTGATGCGTAGTGTGATGGTCGATAGCAAAATGTAACATAGGTCACGGTCGGGTCACTGCAAAAGTCACACCACGTGATCAAGCGAACTATGACTGCGGTCTATCTTAAGTAGAAGAGTCACTTCAGAGTGCACTCGTCGGATCATTGAAAATGTTTGTTGCAAAGACACAGCTGGGCGTTATGTTTGGCTACACGTAGTACTGTTCAATATTTGGTACTATCCCTTCTGGTACCGCACTGGCAGCCCACAGAAGTCGACACTTTCACAGAATTCATATTTCTAGCTACTAAGTAAGTCAAACACAGAGCTCTTAATAGTGATCAGTGCATGGCCCAGCTGCTATGCGTGGGCCGGGCCAGGCCGAGCCAAGCCGGGCCAAAGTGATGACCACCCAGTCTAGGGCTCGGCCTGAGATGCCAAAAAGCTAGAGCTGGCGGCTGAAGCTGCAGCCTTTTCCTATGTACCAGGTGAAGCTGTTAGCAGAACTTGATACCAGCACCTGGAATCTTCCCAGTACAGTCAGTGATGGGCTTTCAATATCGCACTAATGCGTACTCTGTGCATACATAAATAAAATGCTGGACAATTCATGAGACCACTTGAGTCAGAGAAGGCGTAGAGAAGCTCACAATAACCAGTTAACCATCCTCCCAAGACACCTGTCCAGAAGTCCACCTATCACCCCACATTAATCGTTTGTGGTAGATTTTCCTAAGCTCTCTAAATTCTCTGATGAACTCATCCACATCTGAGGCGTCGTTAACCAAGGAGGATGAAGGAGATGATTGCACAAATGATGACGCAAGAGCCTCAGAGGCATCATCTTGCGCGGTGGTCGCATGACGAAGACGAAGTAAAAGAAACTGAGGGTCGAACCGCTGAAAGAACATCAGATACTAGCTCGTATGCCACATTCAGCGACGTACTTGATAAACTTCTCGTTGTTCGCGCTCGAGATCCTTCCAGCGAGACTCCATAGACTTGGCGTTATCGAAGGCTTCTTTTGTTTCAGTTCGCAACTCATATAGACGGTCCTGCAGTGATAAGTTTGTTTCTAAAGCGAGATGAGTCTGGCGTGCTGCATACCAACGAATAATCAAGTTACTTACGAGCGATGGCTTCATTTGCCATACCTAACTCTGTCTGAGCTTGATATAATTCCTTGACCTGACGCAAGGAATGGAATATGCTCTGGAAGTAAGCGGGATCATTGAGGATGTCTTCAAGATCTTCACGTCTGCACAAGATCTGAATGAGCTAGAAATGCGGGCTCATGTAAGATACACACGTAAGGTAGGCTAGCTCGGGAAATTCATTCATCAAAGGTGTCGCAGCCATAAATGACGCGGGATAGTAGTTCAAGTTCAAGTTGACATCTAAAGGAAGTCAAGGACCAGTGCTGGTGAGAGTTCGACGTTCAACGTTCAGGAGGCGGTGTGCCTTTTTTCCTTTTACAGTTTCCATGATGTCCATCGTCCTCCCTGGTGAACAAGTCCCAGCCCAGCACGTCAACCTCAAGCTTGGTCCTGGCCTTCTTCAACTATCGAGCGAGACACAGCAACAAGCAAAATTAGCTCCTGTTATTGCCACTCGCTCAGGCGTCCTTAACCACTCAGCCAACAAGAGCAAATGGTGGGTAGAGGGCAATTCAAGAAGAGTACGGCACCCTACGCCTTGGTGTACAAGCTAGCCATCTAATAATCATTTCCAGTATGTTCCGGCGCCCCAGGAAAGTGTGATCGGCGTGATCATTGGACGAAGTGGTGAAGGCTGGCGCGTCGACATTGGATCTGCACATCCTGCCTCACTGGATGGCTTGGCGTTTGAAGGGGCAACCAAAAGAAACAAGCCGAGTCTAAAGGTACTTTAACGTTCCTTTCCAGTGCCAGTGTACAGCTTCTTGATGAATCAATCAGGTCGGTTCACTCCTTTATGCTCGCGTTTCATTGGCCCATAAAGATATGGAGCCTGAGCTCGAATGTTTCGACGCCCAAACTCACAAGGCTGATGGGTTTGGTGAGCTAAAAGATGGCTTTGTGCTTCAGTGCAGTTTGCAAATGAGCCGACTGTATGCTAAATTCTTCCTGTTGTGTCTCCTTGTTTATGATATCTTTCATCCAGATTACTTGACCCTAAGCATTTTCTCCTGCCACTGCTTGGATCGCGTTTTCCTCTGGAAGCGGCAGTGGGAATGAATGGAAAAGTATGGGTTAGTACGAAGGAGACAAAACATACGATTACTATCGTGCGGTGTATTGAGGCAGTCGATCCAGACGGCGGCGGGATGGATGAAACTAATGTGAAGGAGTTCCTTAGCAAATTGGATATATAATCGCTGTACATTTTCTCAGTTTTGAGAGATACCTGTTGCGCGCACAGGTAACGACACTTAAAGAACTAAAAAGACAACGATGATGCATACATATACCACAGTTTCTCTCAACTCAATCATCATCTGCTATCCTCGCGCGTTTCATTGGACGCCTTCCTGTACCGACGCTCTGCGAGTCTTCGTCGCTGACAGTACCCGCGCTTCGTCGCATAGCGCGTTTGCGTCGCTGATATTCTCTGTCACGGTGCTTTTTCTGCTGCGCAGCAGTTAACTCTTGCGTGCGCGGAGCCGGAGGTACGACAACAGTGGTCAACCCCGGTGTTGTTTGAAGCCTCATGTCATCAGGTGCAGGTGTCGAATCTTCACCTTCTCCGAGAAGATCCAAGGACTGAGGAAGAAAAGGGGAATACTCCAATGAGATATTTATCCATATCTTGAATTTCTTGGACATACCTTCTGCCATGTTCCACTACTTGTTGAGAACCACCGGTCACCATCCCCAATATCGTGCTTTCTACGCGCCGCAGCACCCTGAGTGGGTTTAAGATATCCGTCGAATCCATGGATGATATTACCCGTAGTGGAGGTTTCAGCGAGATAAGACGTTTCTAGCGTATGTATTAGGACTTCAGTTTGTGCCTGTATATTGCATAGAGCAGTTTGAACAATTCAAGTTAACAAAGAGGGTCGACGTACAAGTTGTCTGTCCGCGGCCCTTTTCTTCTGAATCATCTTCACAAGTTCATCTTTCACCTTTTCATATCGTGCCCTCTCCTCCGCGGTGGGAGGATCTTTGCTTGCCATAGCAAGGATCCAATGGACTTAGAGATCAAGTGCCATCCACACGGTCAATAGCCCTCGACTAAGTGGATGTTACAGAATCCTCATTTGGCAATTGCAAAGGCTTTAGAATTTAACAAGGACAAATATTGAACACTGACTCATGGCAATGATCATTAATGTTGATGATGCGCTCGCCGCTCAACGCACAGCTGTATGATTTATTGTATCGACTGACCTCCCTCGCATCGATAGGGTAAATATTTTACAATCGCAGAGTTTGTGGATAACTGCTGAATGCATACTACTTAGACTATGTCATTCGATGGGAGGGTTAAACTTGGTCAAACTATTCTTGTCGATTTCAGCGCTCAGCAACTGTTTATCAATATTGATATATATGGGCTTGCTCGAACAAACTAAACTGATTCATTGCTGAACAGTCACCTAGTTTCTGACCAGTGACCACAGCACAGGCTACCGCGCTAGCCGCGGTTAGCGTGTGCTCCGATTTCCTTTTTGGGGAGGAGTTACGCGTCGGCGACGAGTATCTCAGTTCAGCACTGTATCATCGATTTCTACCACCCGCTTCTCAATTCACATGTCCTCAGTTCCCTCCTCTGAACCTCCATCTGACCCTCCTACAGGTGACAATGTGCAGAAGCCAGATGCACCACAGCAACCAGAAGCTTCACCTTCTCCAGCTCAGGATGGCGTTGAAATGGACATAACGCCAGATCAACCCGCAGAAGAGACTTGGGATGACATTCCAGAGGAGATAAAGGCTTTGACAACAGAGGAGATTTTGACAAGAATACGGCTAATTGATAATGACATCAAGGTGCGTCGTTTGCATCTTGCAATAGGTTTACCAGAGTTCAACTCAAGAGTGCTTTGTCCTAATGATGCAGGTCATGAAGTCGGACACCCTACGATTACAACATGAGCAAAACGTAATGAAGGAGAAGATACGTGACAACGGGGAGAAAATTAAGCAAAATAAAGTCTTGCCGTATCTTGTTGGAAATGTAGTAGAGGTACGCACAACCAGGTTATATCGTCATGTCCCGTCGTTCATCTGCCATAGATTTTGGACGTTGATCCTGAATCAGAGGAGGATGGGGCAAACCGCGACTTGGACTCAATGCGCAAGGGCAAATGTGCTGTTGTGAAGACATCCACTCGACAAACTGTTTTCCTCCCTCTTATAGGTCTCGTACCTGCCGACCAGTTGAGACCTTCCGACCTTGTCGGTGTTAACAAAGACTCTTATCTGATCCTCGACAAGCTTCCGACTGAATATGATTCACGCGTCAAAGCAATGGAGGTTGATGAACGTCCAACAGAAACCTACACTGATATTGGTGGCTTGGAGAAGCAAATTGAAGAGCTGGTCGAAGCCATCGTTCTGCCGATGGAGCAGGCAGACAAGTTCAAGACCTTGGGAATAAAACCACCGAAAGGTTGTTTGATGTACGGGCCACCAGGTACGTGTGTATCTGATTCACATGCGCACCATCGCTTATATCTTCGATAGGCACTGGGAAAACTCTTCTTGCCCGTGCATGTGCAGCGCAAACAAAGGCTTGCTATCTCAAGCTTGCCGGTCCCTCACTTGTCCAGATGTTCATCGGTGACGGTGCTAAGCTTGTTCGCGACGCGTTTGAACTTGCCAAAGAGAAAGCACCTGCAATTATCTTCATTGATGAATTGGACGCTATTGGAACAAAGCGTTTCGACTCAGAAAAGAGTGGTGATCGTGAAGTGCAGCGAACGATGTTAGAATTGTTGAACCAGCTTGATGGTTTCTCGAGCGACCAGCGAATCAAGGTGATACTATTCACTATCGACTTGAGCTGTCTTTACTCAGTTCGCCTTGTACAGGTCATCGCGGCGACAAATCGGATTGACATCCTTGACCCAGCCCTTCTCCGTTCAGGTCGTTTGGATCGTAAAATTGAGTTTCCACTACCAAACGAGACGGCTCGCGCCCGTATCCTAGAAATTCACTCACGGAAGATGACTGTCAGCCCAGATGTGAACTTTGAAGAGTTAGCGCGTAGCACAGACGAGTTTAATGGTGCTCAGTTGAAGGCGACTTGTGTGGAGGCCGGTATGATCGCCCTGCGCGAGGGTGCTACCAAGCTTGGGCACGAACATTTCCTAAGTGGGATTGCTGAGGGTGAGTAGCTTACTTTCGACGACTATATCCTATAATTTTCTAACTGTGTCGTGCAGTACAAAGCAAGAAGAAGAACAATTTGATGTACTTCGCATAGGTCGCATTATCGATTCATTCTGTTGTGATAGACTCGATTATCGCATGCAGATTTTCACCCATGCCACTATCATTATTTCCATTGCCAGCTTTGTGCCATACTGAGGGGGTGCGAGTGTACCTCCTGTAATACTGTTGCTCTCGCCAGTTGCTTGACTGGGTGGCTGCTAACATGATGTTACTTGTTCCTGGACTCATTGATCTCGATATCGTGTCACACAGACGAAAATCCTTTCTCGGTTTCCCATAAATAATCATCGTGCGATCGTGCAGCTCTACCAAAAATCCTTAACGCTGCCAACCCAACTGTCTCAACTTATGATGGTACACTTTATGGACACACCTTTGCAGGAGCCTGACTACTAGCAACACGACTGGGCGCAAGGGGCTGTTACGGGTCTTGCAACTGGCGGAAAGAGCGATCACTCGATCAAACGGGTTCTCTGATATTCCCGCTACCGTTAGGGAGTGCACGTGGGTCCTATAGCTCGCTATTTTCACGTTTTGGCGGTAGATTTCTCGATTTCGTCGTCCCTTTCTTTCTCGCCTCAGATGGCAACGTTGTGCGTGGTCTTGATTGTGATGTTTTGATTGTGATGAATTGGATTGCTGCGTGGCGTGCTGTTGGTCGGGAAGACGAGCATCCTGTGCACCATCCTTATTCTCGTGCCACATCTGGACTGCAAGGTGACAGTACTTAATGGTTGAATTTTCTGGTATCTTTCTGATGTTTCGTATTTCTAGCAACTTCGTGTATTGCAAGCCATTTGCCAGAATCTCCTGTCAGTGGCCACGTGAATTTATCTCAGTCTTCGTCCCTTGCAGGGGCAATTTTATCGTCTTGTAGACGTTCAAAATCTATTGTGCATGTCATATTCTTTGAATCGTGTCGTTTGGGGGTCCGTTTTGGTCCTTTGTCGTCCGAAGTTGCGTTACTCGATCGGGCAT